CGTTCATCTTCTACAGCTACTTCCGTGTCTTTGGGTGAAATCTTTGACTCGGATTTGGATTTAGGAGTTGCAGCCCCTAAAACTTTTTAAGTAAATCTCCCCTGGCAAAAGAAGAAGAAAACCAAAGCTAAGAAGAAATCTAAGTGAAGTTCTGAGATTACCTATGTTGACATTTAACTTACTTATATTCTCAACCAGATTTGATATATCAAAAATGCCTTTATGTTCTTTCTTTTTGAACACTTTTATTAGGTTTTAAAGAATTGAATGAAATTTTTAGCATGTAGACATATACTTAAAGCATTTGATTAGCTTATCAGAGGTTCTTGTTACTCTCCCTGTAGTTTTAGTTTTGTAGGGTATAGTCTTTGTAGTGTGTAGGAAGAAAAGCAATAAAAAGTATTTTTTTAAAAAGGAACGTGTTGTGTGTATTATTCATATATATAGGCACACACACAATCTCTCCATATACAGCATATAGGGGGGAAAATAAAATACTTAAAATTTTTATTGCCTCTGTAGGACTTTCTGTCCTCCCATTATACATTTTGGCCTGTGTTAAATCCATTCCATCCCAGAAAATGCATCCAAGAAGTTCACTTCTAACTACCTTGTGCCACTGACTTGGTGATTTTCCATCATCCGTTCCCAGCATTTAAAAAACCACTCCTATCTATCTGGGAAGTTTGGGTTAATATTATTATCTTATGGCAATGTGTGTAGTATAGCCAGGAAATCTGAAGAATGTCTGGCATCCATAAGTACTAGCCCTTTAGTGTTATGCACCACTGAAATGGCAAGCTAGACATTTTTGGGGCAGAGAGAGCTCTGAAAGAGCTGTGACTGACCCAAGGTCACCCAGTTGGCTTCATGTGGAGGAATGTAGAATCGAACCCGATTCTCCAGATTAGAGTTTTTCGCTCTTAACCACTGCACCACACTGCTGACGGCGTATTGGAAGCGCCCGAATAAAGACAGTTTCAGGTTGCTGGTGGAAGCTATATACAGTGGTTTTATTTACAGAGTTATCTACAGACAGTCCATTCACCTTTGCAGACTCCAAAATCATAAGATTGTCCAACAAGGTGCTTCGCATGTAAATTTATCCACAAGTGTGAACACTTACATTTAGACTGTTCTCCTTATATACAACATGGCACCAATCAGAGTCCAGTGCTGACTCATGGTGACCATTAATTAGGCTGATGCAACCTAGATGCAACCTGGACCTGGTGACACTGTCACATGACAGCTTTACCTGTCACCATAGATCAGGATGATCTAACTCAACCATACCTCGCTGTCATCTTGCCCAGATACAATACAGTATACTGTCAGAGACCTAGTGAAGGCTGCTCCAGCAGCCTCGCTAGGCAGAGACCTGGGGGGAGATTTTTCCCAGTGGTACGCGGCTTTGTGCACCGTTGGGATGGGACCTGGAGGCCTAGCGAAGGCTGCTCCAGCAGCCTCGCTAGGCAGAGACCCAGGGGGAGGGGAGCCGACTTACCCTCCTGCTTCTTCCTCATTCTGCAACAGAATGAGGCTGGAAGCAGAGGGTGGTCTGAAGAAGGGGGTGGGACTTCACCATGTGACCACCCCGCCCCCCGGTGCCTCTCTCCTGGAGCGACGTACTGTCACGCTCCGGCCTGATCCGAGGCCTGCCCATATAGAATAAAGGTTATATGTTTGAGAGCTGCAAGACATAAACAAATATTACACACACATTTTTATTGAAAAATATGCAAATTTGCTTTTTATTAACATTAAATTAGACTGTGTGAAAGAGCAACATGTGGCTCCTGAGCTGCAGTTTGGCCACCCCTGATTTATGGACCATTGCAGCCTAAATATGTTGCTCTTAAAAAAGATTGTGACAGGACACGGAGGAAGGCTATTTGTTATGCCACTTATCTGTCTGAATTGTGTGGGCCTTGGGGTGGTGGCTGTGCAGTGGTGGAGTCTATGCTGTGCGTGCAAAAGATCCTAGGTTTGGGCTTTGAAGCTTTTCTACTCTGAGTTGTTATTGCAGCTCTACTTAAGTAGATAGTCACCCTCTCCCCCTTACAAACAGTATTGTTTGCCAGTTGTTGCTCTCGTATTTTTTCCTTTGAGCTTTCCCCATGTTTCTTCAGAATATTTTTGCAGTGGTCTGAAACATGCAGGAAAAACTGAAAACAAAAACGGGACAGCAACAACAGTATTGTGAGTAAGGGATGAAGGAGACTGCTGTAGTTAAGAAGCCAAGGTTCAACAAAGAACCTAGTGTGAAAAACCTCTTTTGTCTTTCTGGTTTAGGGTTGTTTTTTTTTTAATCATTCAATTTATATATCGCTCTGACCCCAAAGGGTCTCCGAGCGGTTTACACACAATTTGATTCCTAACTAGGGCCACAATTGTAGAGGGGAGTGATTGCCTACCAGCACCCGGCAGCAGGGTTTGTTGCTATCTGGCTCCCTTCGATGGGTCTCGGAAGTTGGCATTCCACCTCCAATGTCCTGGAGCAGATCTCTTTCTGGTCCAGCAGCTTCCTCAGGCGGGCCCATCCGGTGCACGGCCCATGTTAGCTGCAGCTCCGACCAATGTCCTTCCGGCTCCGCCGCACCGACACGCCACCGCACTTCCGTGGCTCCACCTTCACCTCTGCCAGATTCCGCCACTCATGTCGCGCTCACAGGCCACTCTCCGCCACTTCATCGCTCTACTGCTGCTCCGACGACGCCACTCCACCACCACCGTTGCCGGTGCCTCTGCTGCACACCCAACAAGGGTTGCCATCCTCCCAGTGGGGATGGGGTTTCCCCTGATTTTGAGGGCCCTAATCCATCTCTGGCCAGCTGGCTGGTGAGGGAGCTCTGCCCCCAAAGATCCCCACCATGCCCAACGTGCCTGGCATGATGATGTCACCTGGCATGTCATGTGGGGGACACTCTAGCATTTGGCTAAAAGCTCTATGGTGACCATAGAATCTTTGGCCAAATGCTAGAGCATCCACACACAATGTGCTTGGCACAGTGATGTCACAGGTGATGTTATTACGTCAGGTGCGGTGGGGATTGTTAGGGATGGGGCTCCCCCACTGCCCATCTGGCTGGCGGTGGATTGGTGCCCCCGAAATCGGGGGCAACTCTAAACCAGAAGATCCTGGGGAGCAGCCTAGAGCCCCCTACTGGCAGACAGTAAGTAAGCAACTGGCAACCCTGTTCTGGTTGGTGGATATTAGGGAGCAGGTATTAAAAAAGCCCTTTCCCTGCCAGAGACTGGGAGAACTGCTGCCATTCAGAATAGACAGTACTGGGATAGATGGCTTAATATAAGGTAGATCCATGTGTATGTAACTGTGCATTGTATGCATATGTACAAATATGTAATCTTTCTAAACATAATCTGAAAGAGCTAGGATGGTATAGTGGTTACAGTTGAATGGAGGACATGAGAATGATGTAATCTGCTTTGGGTTCCTATTGTGGAGAAAAGGAGGCTATAAATAATAAATATATCTAAAGTTGGGGGCAGGTAAAAGGCTGGTGGGTGGGTGCATGGAAAGGAGAGCAGGAAGCAAAGAAAGGTGTGGATATGGAGGCTGCCAGGAGTGGGGGAAGAGTGGAGTGGCAGATGCAGGGGAAAGTGAGGTGAGCCCCATGAGTCTTTTGTGGGTTCTCCACTGCATGGGGAGGGGGGCAGGCATCATACAACTGGGCCAGAGTTTTCCCAGGAGAGAGAAGGAGGGAAAACAGATAAAGGTAGATTGGCTGGTGGGTGGGGATAAGAGAAGAAAGCAGTGAAAGGGGAGAGGCTATGGGGGTTTTGGGGGGAGGAGAAATTAGATGCTCCCACATTTCTTGCAGGTCCCCTGCTTGTACATTTATATATCATAACTGGATAAATTTGCACAGGACTGTATTTTCTTTCAGTGGCTAGTCTTACTGTGAAACACTTTTGGATTAGTAAATTGATTTCACCTGCTGTCTGATCATAGATGAAGACAAAGGTAAGGATTATAATCCTTACTGGAATAGTGTTCAATTAGCAAGTGTTCGTGGCACAATGCGGACATCTCCTGATGTACTATGATTTGCAGGATCCTCGTGGGAATGAAGTGCAGGCAGCTGTGACATGGGCCATGCTGGGAATTCCCAAATTGGCTGTAATGAGGTGTTTCCCCATTAGCGTAAAACTTGCTGAGCTACTGACTGCTCTTCTACAATTACTCTTCTGTTGTTCTCTGTGTGTAAAGATTTATGTTTTGTGACTCATAAGTGATTTCCAGCAGACATGACTACTCTCTGAAATATTTTTAAAACGTTTTTAAAGGAAATAAATGTCAATCTATAAAATAATCTGTACGAAAAAGGAGCAAGGCACTTACTTGCTTTAAATATTCTCTTGGCTAGCTTTGTATGGAACCCTCTATTCTTCTGTAAAGCAGTTGGGAGGGGGTGAGAGTCTGTGCACGTATAGATGGATAGTATACCTGTTCACTGAATTGCATAGTTCTGGACAGATCTGACCATAGACCAAATCTAATTAAAATAACCCTATTTCATCATTCATAATTGCAGATTAATCGTGTTTTTCCCCAATGCCAGAGAAGAATATTCATTTTCTTTCTTTCTTTAGTGAGAACAGAGATCATGCAGATTTGTTTACAAGGCGCACCTCCAAATTGATTTAATAAAAACAAAAACAACTGAGATCTCAGCAATTTACAGATATGTACATTTCAGTTTCAGGCTAATTTATAATATTGCGTTTACCCCTCTTCCCAAAGCATGATAAATTGGAAGGGCAGAGCTTGGGTGGGGAGTTCCTTTGGATGAAAAAAGTCCACAATTTGTGGTAACTTTGTAATAATTGGTCTAATTTGTTATGGATATACAAGTTTGAATCTGAGAAAGGAGTATGAATGCTAGCTATGTTGTGCTTAAGCTTTCAATGTGAACACATTTCTGTAGGTATCACGACTATGTATCTGTTTTGTTTCTGACATCCAAAGAGGGGAATGTGTGTGTGTGTGACCAGAAGTACACCCTCTTTATTTGTTTGCTTGAGAAATCAGCTAGTGTTTCTTCTGCCACTGAGTACACAATGCTTTTGTCCAATCTTCTCCTGGATGTTGAACAGTAAAGACTGATTTCTAGGGAAAGGACACTACATAAAATGGAGATTACCTTACTCTTGACCTGAATTTAATGGCTTGAATTTTTTGAAAACTTAGCTGCATCCCAGTAGAAACTGTTTTATATAGACCTGTCACTTAAAATAGGAAGGCTTCCCTTGCCAGATTGTTTCTGGTTCATCTAGATTTTGGCAAAAGTTAAAAAGAAAATCTTATTTATGATTCATGGTAGATCTGAGCATACTGCTAGTTAGATAGAAAAACCAAAAATCAACAAATACCGTGCTACGGACGATTATAAAATATCTCAAATAATACAAAATATCTTTTGTATTATATTTTTACAATTTATTCACCATATATTATTTATCATATAAGCCTTAATACAAAACATCTAAGCATGATCTCTTAACATATCACAAAAGATATTGCACAACTCCTTTATTCAGTCCTCCTTAATTATACAAAAGTTTTAAGAGGGAGGATTCCTTTAAGTCTATTTTGAATAAGTGCTCAGTCTTCCTCCAACAGTCCAGATATCCTCCTGTTTCAGTGTCTTCCTCAGGGAATTCAACAGATATTTCCAAGCACAGGTTGCCAAATACTAACATAAAAGGTAGCAAAAACAGA